CCTGGCTGGTCTTGGAAGTGTCTCTGACCTCCACATGTCCAGTTGCATGAAGGGGAAGAGAACAGTCGTCTTCCAGCCCTTGGTGAGCTCAGTCTGATCTTGGGTGGAGCAGCAATATAATAGTAACCTAGATTCTTTCTTCCTGCAAGATCCTTAGCTTTAAATAGAAAACTGGGGAATTAAGTGATTTGTTGTTGTTGTTTTCCTCCTTGCTAGTGCTGTGCAAGCTGTTGGTGTAGAGCTGAAACTCCCATTCAGGGCCACAGTGAAAAGACTGATGTTTTGTTAGTTGATAAATACAGTAGAAAACAACATAAGGATGCCTGAGTTAATTCTGTGAAAGAACATGCCTACTTAATTCTGAATCATGCACTTAGGATCCTTCTACTCTTGGGGGGGGGGGGGGGGGGGTCTCCTTTTTTTTTTTTTTCCCTTCCTCGGGGGAGGATTCCCTTCTTTTTTCTTTCCCTTGCCGTCAATGCATGTTTCTGGGTTGTGATCCTCCTGTCTTACACATCAGGGAAGGCAGGAGGATCTGCTGCATATTTCTGTTCAATTCTAGGGCTTAAATTTTAGGTCTATTTAACATTAGTTAATTGTCTAAAAAGGGAGAGCCTTCATCCAGCAATTTTTATTTATTTATTTATTTATAATGCTGTCTGGAGGACTCATGCTCATGGGAAAGACAGACTTTGAATAATAATGACCAAATGCGTCATCTTCTGAAGCAACATCTTTAGAATGATTCTGATAAATCCCAAGTAATTCATTAATAAAGGGAGATCATCTGATCCCTGCAGCATTCCCCAGGAGCCCTTTTGTTTCTTCCTAGGAGGAAAACAGAGACATCATCCACGGGGTGTTAGTAGAATCATTTTGATGCAGAGAGAACTCCAAGCTCCTTACAGCATATTAGGAAAATTAAAGAAAATAAAGCCAACCAACAAAGCCACCCACTCACTCTGTGCTGTGTACTGAATTTATGAACCCTTCGGGCAATCCTGCAGCAGCTGTATACTCCTGTCGATACGTCCTTTCTTTGACAGCCTAACATGTTCTTTCAAGTCAATTCCACAGCTCTTTGCTGTTGCGCCAGTTCTACTGGAGAATTTTATGACTGCCCTCGGGGTGTGGGGGAGATTAGTTTGTAGTTATGCAGGCTACATCAGCCATTAGGGTAATTAAGTGGCTGAGGTATGGGCTCATCACTGCAGAGGTCAGGAAGCAAACTGCTCTGCTATGCTCCATCCTGCACTTTGTACTAGACAATGCAGCCTTGACCTCACTCTACTCCCCTACTCTGCTCTAATTTTTTGAAGTTAGTGGGGATCCCATTGCTGTAAGGAAGAAGGTGGCTAGATATCATGAAATAGTGGGAGAGGTTAACCTGATGTACTCACTCTGAGTGCAGGTGGTACCGAGTGCTGCTGGAGAAAGCATATGAGTCCTGTGTGCCCAGGGCTGTGGTGGGATTAAGTGAATGGGGCCACGAACATCGTGCCATTTGTCTGATCAAGTATGCCGGCATCCTGCAGCTGCCGTGACTCCCCAAGTTTGCAGTTGTTGAGTATGTGACTTTTTCTTGGTTCCATGTCTTTTCTAAAGCCTGAAAAGACCCACAATCCAAAAATCAATTGCATCAAAATGGGTCCTGAGGCCGTAATTTGCTGGTTCGAACAAATGAGATAAAGATTCAAACTGTTAAGTTCCTCAGGGTCTCTGTTAAAAAAAAACTGCCAAAGCATCAGAGCAAATCTTAGGGCATGGTAGAAGACTGTTTTGTCAGAACAACCTTACATAAATAAGACCTAGAAGGATGGCAGTGTTCTGTAATGAGACAATTCTTGTGGTCTTGTTTCATCATCTCCTAAGTTCTGTTTACTGATTTTTATTTTCTAGACAGGACTAGATGCTGGTAAGAGTAGAGTATCTGGAGAGCTTTCAAAGTAGGGACAAAACTTGGTCTACCAAAATGCTTCATTATTTCTTAGGTGATTGTAAACTTCAATAGTAAAAACTGAAATGTGACCTTTTACCCTTCCAGAGTGATCCTGTGAGGTACTTAGTGCCACCTACAGTCTGTGGATTACATGTAGTGCTTCTTGATTTTCTTTGCTTTGCAAGCAAAGAAGAGACAGTAGAGCTGAGGGTACTCAAGCCTGCAGTTCTGAAGTGGTCAGCAATTCTGGTTGCCTTCATTACCTCCAAGTTTTCCATCTTGGCCTCTGCAGACCAGGTTTTTAGAAAGTGCTAATCTTTAGGGCAGGGAGGAAGAGAAAGGACTGTCAGTGGCACAGGTCTCCTCTAGTGGCAATTAGGTAAGATTAGAAAAGTTTCAGAATTTGCTCAATACCTAGCAACCCTTTTTTCTTGCCACATTTCCAAATGCAGCCAGCACCAGTGGGCTTAAAAAGTTTGTTTGAAAAATCCATCTGCTGATTTTGGCCCCAAAATCTACTGATTTGCTGCCCTGCAAATCTGGCTGTTGCTGTCTCAAGTTGAACATGCTAAAATAGCAGGCTCTTGTAGCAACCTGCCAGAAATCAGCAGAGCTAGAGACCAAGATCAGGCATTCTGGCTCATGGTCCTGCATCCTGGACACTGGACATGCCAAGTTTAATTATGTTTTACTGGCAATGTATACATACATACATATACATATGTGTGTGTGTGTGTGTATAAATATATATTCAGTACTAAGTCAGGATATAGTGCTCTGGCCCAAGACCAACAGTTGGTGACACATTCTCCAAAACAGATGTGAATTTGCTTATGAGGGAAGAGCTACAGCTTATAAAAATAGATAGGAAATCCCTAACAGTAATCACTTACCGACTTTTTGCACTGAATTGATTCTACTTTGCTGTTGCCGATTTGTGACTGACTCAGTTCCACCCATATCCATTCCTCTGCATGGTCTTGCTGCTTGAAACACATCCAGAGTGCCGAGGTTTGGGATGTGCCTGGAACTCTGGGGTTTTGAAGTGATGTTTGCACGGCCTACATCTAGACATTTAGGAAAAAGAGTGGGATAGTCAGTGCACACTGAAGTTAGGTGGTATGAGGGTACTACCTTTGTGTGAAAACAAAGCATATGAGTGTGCATGCTTGCATCTCTTTCAAGTAAGAAAGATTCATACAGCATTTCCCATCCTGGTCTGTCCTATCCATTTTTAATCAATGGACCCCATTAAAATGGGCAAGAAAGTCTGGCTGGTGGCATTCTATGGTTCATCTACCCAGTGGTCCTAGTATGTTTCAGTATAGCAAGATGTCCCCAAATCCTCCTTGAATTTGCAATTTTGGTGTCCTTTGGGGCTCTAATGGTAACAATATCTTCTAGATCCATATAATGGTGTGAGAAGGTTTTTTGAAAACCTTATTGGGTGTTCTGGAAAGCAACTAAAATATCTCGGTCCCAGAATGGCCTGAGTCTTGTTTAATTGTAGAACTGTGAAATAGTAATGCAATTGCTACTTGCTGTCTTCATGAACTATGATCTGCTGATTTTTCAGACGTGCCTGCCACTCAGCTGTGATTTTCCAGCAGAGATTTCTGTCCCTGCAGTTAGAGCACTGCATGCCATGGGCTTTGAGGGAGTGCAAACCTGGAGTGGGGGTGGAGGTGAAGAGTTGCCATGCCCTGATTAAGGCCAGCCACTGGCAGAACAATATTTCTCTCTTTTGCTGGCAGAACCCCTTTGGGAGGCTCTTGACTATTGCCACCTCTTGCTTCCTTCAAATGGGTTAGTGTTTCAGCCACAAAGAAAGGTAGATTAATTATTTGTGGGACCCCATGCTAACGGGGGGAGAGAGGGAGGGAGAGGTCAGGAACAATAATTTTTTAATGTTCTTTAAATCAATTACTGGCTGTGCTTACCAAGCACATTAAAACTCAAGTTAAAATCCATAGTGCCTTGCTCTGCCATTTTAAGCATTTGTTGATAGTCGTTATTAAATCCTTTGCATGCAGCCAGTACGGCAGAAGCACGGTTTACTCTGAAGCTGACATTAGCACTGTTTCACTGGGCTGGCAAAATGCAGTGAGCTAGTGTGTTCCCAGGGAGACTGACTGTTTTCCATTTATTTCAGTGCTCTGGAAACAGGCCTAGCTGTAATGGCCTAACGTATCTTAAAACAGGGAAATTACTAATTCAAGTCAGTGAGCATATTTTCATTTTAAAAGAGTAACAAATTAAATAAACTCTCTGCATTTTGCATTTGAGACCTCAGTGTTTCATCTGTTGTAATCTAATTCACCCATTCATTTCCTGCACATTCATTTTATTCCATTATTTGAGATTTCCTTTGCTTTTAATCCTGTATTTTGAAGAGACATAAAGTTACAGCAGAAAATAGATGAGAGAGAAATGGTAAATAAAAGAAAAAATATGCCATAATAAAGCTTGATGTGCTCCTAATCAATCTGCTTATCACAACTGAATCCTTAATGTTAGGCAAGCAACTCCTTTGTCTCTTGTTGATTAAAATTTCTTTAAAAATAGGTGAAATGGGGCTATGTACACAAGTCTACCAGGGACGTAACTGTGGTTATGGGTTATACAATAGCAGTGATGGCTGCTGATAAAAAGCAGCTTCTGAGATGACCCCAGTCACCTAAAGACTTTTTGGGGTGCTTTTAACCAACCGCACTTAAGCAGTACGATCTTATTTAAAACTGAAGTGTTTACTTGTCTAGTTGGGGACAAACTGTTCCACAATCAAAAAAGCCTCATTATTCCAGGACAATCGATCAATCATTCTCTTTCTCTACAAGTTAGATGCACCTTAATCAGCAATGCATCTCATTCACCTATCAAGTGCTTCCTAGCACTTGTCCCACCTGCTTGTGTTGGCTCCTGTCTTGCCATGGGTAATTACATTTTTTCAGCAGATTGTCTCCCTTGAGAGCTTCATGCCCATTGGAACCATTGGGAAACATTGGTAACTTCTCTATATTTTCTAAGAACTTAATTGTTTTTCATCATGTGGCACCCTCAGGTCTGTGCAGGCTCCTTCTGAGCCCGTCCTAGAGGAAGGATAAATGAAATTTTGAGCATCAGCCTAGAGGAAACATGTGGCCCAGGGATGGTGCTAAAAGGTAGGTTCTGATAAGTGCTTACTAATACCTTTGTGCTTCATATTGCATCCCTCTCAGATAGGAATTCCTCTTGCACTTTCATGTGTGCTGGGAACGGCTGGAGAGGGAGTTAATGAAAAACAGCTTGTGTGCTGGATCTTCCCATCCTTGTTTAAGTGCAATAACTGCTCAGAGATGTGCATGCAGATACACATCAGCATTGGCAAACGGAAACTTAAAACTGGTAACTGAGGTACTTCAGATAATGAACTCCCCTTCCCATAACACTGTAACTAGCAAGTCTGTTTGTCCCTGTTGCAAGTGCATTGACTGAAATTACCCTAGGAATGAGTTTGGTCTCTTCTCATTTAAGAATTGGAAAAATGTTTTCTCTACTCGTTTAGTAGTGCAAGAGAAGAGATAACATAAAGAACTGAGGTTTTCCTTCAGTTTGAATTTGCAACACCATGTAGATTTTTTTGTATGTTTTGGAAAAATAATAACTATTTTTAT